CATACATATTTTTCTCCCACTCATTTGAGAGCTTTCTGTGTTTGTATATTGATGCTCAGCTGAGACTGTTGTAAATCAGAGGTGGGGAACTGCCTGGCCAAATCCCTGAGTCCACTCTCCTCCCTAGGCCAGCTTGGGCAGGTGGGCTGGTGTCATGTGACGGACACCTGTGAAAGTTCAGTCAAGGCTTTGGAGTCCAGCCCTTTATCTTATTCTGCTTCCAGACTGCTCCACAACTGCAGTGCAGAGTCATATTTCAGTTTTCTTAAAGTTGTATATTTTCCCCAGTGCTACTCCTGTTGAGCTGCATTATTATATCCAGAATAGTGTCATTCAGCTAAGATTACAGACTGAAGAAGGGAATTCAAATGCACCCAATTGGTATATGACACAAGAAAGTCATTCAGTTTTTGTTTTATTTCTTACAGTGTTCTTACAGTATTTCTTTTTATGTTGTGAACCACCCTGTGATCTTTGAAGGGCAGTATACAAATTTAATTAATTAATTAATAATACAATCTGGTCCTACGGCTGTGGATCTCAAGCATTTTTCAGAGGCCTTATTTTATTTTATTTTATTTTATATACCATCCTATACCTGCAGGCCTCAGGGTGGTTTACAAGATAAAATTACAATAGAAAAACACAAAGCGCATAATCAAAATAAAAATATAAACAAAATATAATCAGGAAGAGCCTCCCCCGCAACACACATAGTTAAAAACAATTTTAAACAATTTTAAAAACACAATTAAAAAGCAGTTTAAAAGAATGTGAAGAGTACTCTCTGCTGGGTCCTTGTGAAGCCTGCCTGGCCCTGTCCTGGGCATGGCGGAGAGGTCAGAGCAGCACCCTCAGACTCTCAGCAGGTCTTCCTTCCTTGCTGGGCAAGGAAGTCCGTGGTCTGTCAGGCCCTAGGACTTAAAATATTCTTATCTCTCTTCTGGACCCAGTAGTGGGTCCAGAAGTGACATTCTTGTCCCCAACAAAGACAATTTGGGACTGTGAGACACTGTCCAAGATTTTTTGTCTTTCAGTCTGCCTGCCTCACCCCATCAGCATAAAACAGTGGAGAAGTTTTTAGAAGTCTTACTTCTTGCTTCTGTCCTCTTGACATTTTGTTAATGCTGCTGTGCTTTGTCAGTGTCCCAAAAAAGGTTTTGAACGACATTTTAGAAACTTGTCCTTCCATAAGAATGGTTTGCATATGTACTTAACAAAGGAATAATTTTGTATATCACTTAATTTCTCAAAAGTATGAGCATGCTGAAACTTGTTATCTAGTATGGGCCAGTATTTTTGCTTCCAGTGGAGACCCCACTTAGTAGTTTCTTTTGTGATTTTTTGGTGCCCCCTAGTGGGGAAATTACGCAGATCAATGCTATTTGAAGTTAAAAGGAGTAATTGCATAAGTGCCTGAGAAGGAAACTAATTATATGTGGGACTGCTGTTTGCCAACACAAAGTTCTTGTTTCTGTGCCAGGCAACGGTACCTTTCTATGTTCTGTCGCCATCTTCTTTCCTCAAATGATTTAGCTCCAATTACAGCTTCTATGTTTCAGTTTCCTTTAGGGTTGCCATACTTCTGGGAATTCCCTGACGTGTCCTCTTTTGTGGGTCCTACATGCCTGTCCGGGGGGGGGGGGGATTTTACATTTGAAAGCAAATGTCCTGGATTTTGGGTTTTTTTAATGTGGGTGGGTGGCTCTGGTTGGTTCAGGCTCTGGCTCTGGCATGGGCAGCTTGGGCTCGGCAGTGGGGCTATTGGGTCGACTGCCCTAAAAAAGCTTGCCGCTTCCACTTCCTGGCTATAATAATTCATGCAGCTTTCATCGTAAAGGTAAAGGTAAAGGTACCCCTGCCCATACGGGCCAGTCTTGACAGACTCTAGGGTTGTGCGCTCATCTCACTCTATAGGCTGGGAGCCAGTGCTGTCTGCAGACACTTCCGGGTCACGTGGCCAGCGTGAAAAAGCTGCATCTGGCGAGCCAGCGCAGCACACGGAACACCGTTTACCTTCCCGCTAGAAAGCGGTCCCTATTTATCTACTTGCACCCGAAGGTGCTTTCGAACTGCTAGGTTGGCAGGCAGCTTTCATCGTAAATTGATAATAATGCTACCTCTGGATCTTCAGTCAGCTTTAACCCAGTGATTTCTGTTCTTTCCTTAAACACCCTTTGCCCCCAAAATTGTACATATTTACACCCCCACCACATGTGAACATAATTCCCTGTTTCCTGGCATCCCCTCCAACATAACACCGAATATTCCTTGTCTATTTGATTTAATCTGACTGGTGTCAGACCATCTCCAAATTAATTTATAATAATTTTCTTTTATCGACTGGACCTAATGGTCAGGGGTCCCTTTACCTTTTTATTCTTATAGACAACGTTTTCAACGTACATTTCTCCCATATTTCGCCCCCAGCTTTGACTATCTATTTGCCCTGATGTCTCCTTTTCCCTCACCTCTTTTAATTGATCTTCTTGATCTTCCATTTCTAGTAATATTTAATAAATTTCACTGGTTTCCCCTTTTATAACTGTATTTTCTTTTGTATCTCCCCTTTTATAATAATTTCCCCCCGAATTTTGTCTATTCTTTGCAGTTCTTGTTTTCCCTTAACCACTTCTTTGCCCATTGCTCCAGTTGTATACAGTTATACCATGTTATTTTACTTCCTATTAGAGCATCTCTTATTTGTTCTTTGTTTCTCATTTTCTCTACCCAATCATTTATTTTAAGTATTTTCTTCTCTTTCGCTACTTTTTCTATTTCCTTTTAAAAATTTACTGGGAAGTCTTCTATCATCACCACCAGGGTTAGTGGGGAATTTGCTGGTATCAATTTGCCTTTATATTTCACCCATATCTCAATATTTTTTAATAAGGGATTTTCAATATTCTGCCACTATTTTCTATTTGGTTTGATAAAAATATATATTCACTAACTTCTCCTTCATTTCCTGTGTACCACTCTCTAACCATTCTAACTCTCCTTGTTCTGTTATCCCGTGTATGACATATCATAACTGATTTGCTATATAATATAACTTTATGTTAGGGAGCCCCAGTCCACCTAATACTAATTCCCCTCATCATTGCTTTCATTGTATCCCATATTATTGCTTGAGTACTTTGCCTCTTCTTATTGATCTCCCATACATCTAATAATTCTTTCCCTATCTTATTTACTGTTTGACTATTATTGAAGATCCTCGTGTCTAACCTCCATCTTCTGGCTTCCTTGTAATCTTTCTTTATTTTTAATACCATATTAACCAATGTGTGGTCGGTTACCTTTATTATTCCAATTTCTGTATTCGTTATTTTAGAACACTAAGATTTTTGAAACAAAGATATAATCAATCCTTGAGTAGGTCTTATGCATTGGTGAGAAGAACAAAAATTTATTCTCTCCTCCCCTCATCACTCTCCAAACATCTTTCATATCTTTCCTTTTCATAATTTTAGCTAATCCTGTAATGTTATTACATCTTTCCCCTGGGGTGGGATTTGACTTATCCAGTCATTTATCTAATACCATATTGAAATCTCCTGCCATAATCATATAACCCTTCTGAATACCCTCCATTTCCTTAAACACTTTATCAAAAAATTCCACCTGATTTTCATTGGGAGCATAAATATTAATTATAGTGTATTCTTCCCCCGTCATTGTTCCCTGAATTATAATGTATCTTCCCTCAGGATCTTTCTTCATCTTTGATATACTAAACCCGCATCTCTTTGAAATTACTGTTGCTATCCCTCTTGATTTTGAAGTACCATATGCTTTTTCATAATTATTTATACCTCTCAGTCTGAGTTCATTAACCGCCTCTTTCGTCTGATGCGTTTCCTGTAAAAATATTATAACTTCTTTATCTTTATTCAGTAATGTTTCTGTCCTCCTTTTCATAATCGACCCCAGCCCTCTCATGTTTAAGGTTGAAATCCTTATTTCATTATCAATGAGATAAATGTACTTCTTAATTTCTGGTCTCGTGTCTTATGAGACTTATATAACCCATTACCCATCCCATTCAATCCTCCCCCTCCCCACCCCTCCCATACCCATACATTCCATTTTGCCTTCCCCCCTATTTTCTTAAGTTATTTCACTTCTCCCGTTGTCCTAATTGTTGGGGGGGGGGGAGAAGCTCCTCTGTTCACGGAGCCACAGCAGAACTTCTCCCATTATATTTGTTATGTCTTCACTCTGATATAATTTCGTTCAGCCTTTACTTTCAGTCCTCAATAGTCATTTTTTGTCTCCTGCCACCCCCAGTTCCATGAAAACAGGATGCTGGACTAAATGGACCACTGGCCTTCTGTTTCTGTGTACAGGATGTTTCTGAAAAGGGCCCCTTATAGACAGCCAAACTGGCAGTATTAGTATGGCGCTCACAAGGATGTTCACTATCTTCTTAATATTACAGGAGATGCTGTCACAACAACATTTCTGAAGTAGGAGGGGAAACAGGAGTTTGTTCTAATGTTCTAATTAACACTTGCAGCCAACAAACACGGCTGTGCTGCCATTTCAAAGGGAGAGGGTCATCTGTGACGGCATTTATGTTTTGAAAGTGCTTGGACTTGGATTGACTTTAGACACCAGTAGCCCACTCAACTACTAGGGGACGCGAGTGGTGCTGTGGGTAAAACCTCAGTGCCTAGGACTTGCCGATCAGAAGGTCGGCGGTTCGAATCCCCGCGGCGGGGTGAGCTCCCGTCTTTCGGTCCCAGCGCCTGCCCACCTAGCAGTTCGAAAGCACCCCTAAGTGCAAGAAGATAAATAGGTACCGCTCCGGCGGGAAGGTAAACGGCGTTTCCGTGTGCGGCTCTGGCTCGCCAGAGCAGCTTTGTCACGCTGGCCACGTGACCCGGAAGTGTCTTTGGACAGTGCAGGCTCCCGGCCTCTTCAGTGAGATGAGCGCACAACCCCAGAGTCGGACACGACTGGCCCGTACGGGCAGGGGTACCTTTACCTAGCCCACTCAACTAACATGGGAATGGCTCATGTATACCATTAATAGCCAACTTTCTCAGGTCCCCCAGCAAAGCAGGTTCCACCTTAAATATATTGCATATACCTGTCCTCCTTCTCCTTATATTTATTGGCATTATAAGGCCATACCTTGTTCTTCTCTTTCCAGGATGAGGGGGCAGGGGGTTCCTATGGAAGGCGGCATTCCCATAAGCAGCTTTTATCAACCCTGTGCAATACGCTCCACTTGTCAGAGTCCACTCTCTCACTCCATTGTTAAAGGTAGCCCAGCTTTCTTTCTCTGCTATCTGAACATTGTGTTTTCCATCTCTCTCTTCCTGTTAAAGTAAACCTCCCTGGTGGCACCACTGACCCCATTTGTGGGCCTCGACCCATCAGTTCAAGATAAGTTATGCAAGCAATTGATTCCCCAACAGATCAATTGACTACAGAACTGTGGGATCTGTATGGAAGTTCACAGGTCCCTTGGCTATCAGATTGCTTGTTCATTGACTAAAATAGTTTGAATTCATATATAGGCATGGAAGTGACCTTGCAAATCATCATGTATGTGTTTTTAAGAGCTCCTGCAAATTGGGAATGAGACTGAGGAAAGATGCTTTGAGACAGGGCTAGACAACATAGTGCCTGCCAGATATTTTGTACCACAGCTCCTGTCATCTCTGACCATGTTAGCTAGGTCTGATGGGAGTTGTAATCCAAAACCTCTGGAGGACATCATGTTGGCTACCTCTGCCTTCTGAACCCCAAGAGCAGGACCCAATTTCTTCTGTTCCTCTTCATCTTACATGCCCCACCCCATTTCAGTGTGATTTTGATTTGCTTTTCTTGCTCATCCTTCCACTTTTACAGCAACACTTTCTGCAGCAAAACAGGCAGCACTTCAGTGAGATAAATAGGGCAAGGAGTACAACAGCCAGGAGGAAGGCAATGACGTCAAGAGAGTGATACTGGATCCAGTTGAGGTCATGTGCTGCCGGCCTCAAGTGGGGAGCCCCCTTGTGCTTCATCACAAACTCCACCCAATGCACCGCAAGGTCAAGAGGTTCAATGGGCCTGTCCAGGTGGAGAGCTGAGAGACGCTGGATGTTCTCTTTATACCTAAAAGAAAAGAACCTCTTTAGGAAATAAAACACACAGCATAGAAGCAGATTTCCAAAGCATTTGAAATCCAAGTGGAGTTGATACTGTTCTCTAGTTTATATTACTGAGGTTACTTTTCCATTACAAATGTGGATCCCCTGAGCAGCTGAGACCTCCACTGTGTAGAGGCTGGACGTGCTGAGAGACTGGGGACATGGGATGCAACCCCCTCCCCTGTTCCTATGGGTGCAGATGCACACACTTCGGGATACTCTGTATACGCTTATACAGGGTGACTGAGGCCAGAGTTCCGATGCTTTTAGTAGCTGAACTCTAATTTTTCTCTGGTGGATCTTTCACATAACTGATCTGTCACCTACGTGACAGCTGCTGCTAATCACAGGTCCGTGGAGATAAAAATGGAGAATGATGCAGTGTCCAGGAACTTCTGTGGGGCAACTGAAGATACTGGTGACCACCAGCAGGTGGCAGTTGGAGGAGGGATGATCTCAGTCAGTGTCTCTTAAACACAGAATGTGGCCTGCTGAGGGAAGCAGGAGCTGGTAGGTAGTCAAGAACAGGGCCACTCCCCAATATGGAGGGAGATGCCCCCTGCCTTCACTGCTGCTTCCTGACAGTTACTGCAAGGCCGTCCTTTCCTGTTCCCTTCAGTTGCCCCACAGTGACTGTGTAAACTGGAAGTAGGATGGTATGAATCAGCAGAGGGTATAATAACAAACGGCAGATTTGCTGGCTACCCTTGGCAGAAACAGCATTGCCAAGAAGCAGAGATGGAATATTGTGCAGGACAGTGGTTTGTGACGGATGTGGAATGCTTTCCAGATCAACCTGTCTGTGAAGGAACCCCTGGAAACTCCTGCACATTATGGAGGATTTTGGAGAATACTCCAGGGCACTTGGCTCACCTGGAGCACTGGCGCGGCTTCTTGGCCCTCCCCCCTGCCCCCACTTATTGTCCCCTTGGGGGAGCTAGCACTACGCATTAGAAGATACTCCAAACTCTCTTGCAGCTGCTCATTGTAGGGAAAGCTTTCTTTTACGGAACGTTGCCATTACTTAACTTTTCATTGATAATGCTCTGATTAGCTTCTGAGAATGCCACGGTCTGAGAGAAGACATTTCTAAAACCACTACTGTAGAGGACCCAGAGTCCCGATAAAGAATCAAAGCAGTAGAAACAGAGGGGTTGTTTAGAAGAGACTTTCTTCTTCACCTGTCACCAGCAGCTGTGTAGCAACCCCCGCTGATTTCAGTGACAAGCAGTGGCTCTGCCCCCTTGCAGGGCCCGAATCACCAAGCAACCGCCGTGCTGCCCTCAAGCTCCCATCCCACCAGGAAGTCCACCCCCAGCAGCCACCCTGCCACCCAACAGACCCCCGTGGCACCCTAAAAAACCCCCACGCCCAGTGCAGAACACTCCCCCCCGCCCCGTATATTTCCATGGTATACTTCCTTGCATATTCTGATTTTAAATGTACCATATTTTTAGCTCCATAAGACACACCTGACCATAAGACGCACCTAGTTTTTAGAGGAGGAAAACAAGAAAAAAAATATTCTGAACGAAATAGTGGATGTATGATTTTTGTGGTTCATGCTGTGGCCACAGACATGATATGTGATCTGATGGTGAATTTGGGGTGACCCAATGCAAAAATCCTGAGGATCCATGTGCTTTTACCTCTCCCTTCCCAGGCAGCCTCCTTTATATCTAGAGCCCTTATCTCCCTCCTGATCGGTTGCCGATCAGCTACTCAGCGGCTTTGTTTCAACACCCCCTTCCCTCTTTCTAAAAATAAAAGCACATCTGCTTTTTGCCCCCGGGCAATTTGGCTCCAGGGACCACGCACTCACTCCATAAGATGCACAGACATTTGCACAGACATATTTACTTTTTAGGAGGAAAAAAGTACGTCTTATGGAGTGAGAAATATGGTACTTTGAGCCAACCCTAAAATGAGTTTTGTACCACTCATTTTGTACCACTCATTACTCACTTTTTATCATAAATAACCGCCTTCAGTGCATCAGATAAATCCTTGGAAGTCATGTCAACTACATTCAGAGTCACTCCTGCTCCTCGCGATTCCATCCGCTTTGCATTGTCCATCTGATCTCCAAAAAGCGGCATCAGCACCATTGGTACTGCATTGCAGATTCCCTCATAGACCCCATGGGAGCCAGCATGAGTGATAAAGGCTCTGGCTTTTGGATGAGCTGTTGAGGAAAGAGCAGGAGGTGAAGAAATACCAACAGGCTTATCATTCTGCTAACGACAACGTAGCTAGGCCAAGTTTTAAAATTGCATTTTTATGGAAGCAGCCAATTGAAGTTCAAATTAAACAGCCATATGATTAAGCTGATCTCCTTGGACTGTTATGTACAGTCTAGCAAAATGTCTTTCAGAAGGATGGTACAGAACTGTGGGAGGAGAGAAGTGGCCCCCTTCTAGGCCATCTAGGCCAGGGGTGGGGACCCTCTGTCAGCCAAAGGGTCACCTTCCTTCATGGACAGCCTTCTAGGACTCCAGACCAGTGGTGGGTCCTGCCACTCTCCACCCAGGCAAGGAAGAGGTCCTATCACAGTTCAAGGGCCCAGTCCAGGCAGGTAGGGTGCAGAGTAGGGCCAGTGAAGGATGTGGCCTGGGGGCATGGCCTGTGTTGAGTCCTGAAGGCCAGATAAAGAGGCTTGGCTTCTCCATCCCTGATCCCTCAGTTCAATACAAAGAGTGGAGACCCTTTGGCCTGAGAGCCAGATTTGACCCACCAGATTTGGCCCATGAGGCTGTTTTCTTCAAACCACACCCACCTGCTCCATATTTGACACCACATGTAATGTCAGATGTGGGACACTGAACATCAAGTAATGGGCAGGGAGTCCTGTCCTCTTGGGACACCTGTAGAAAGCACCTGTAGAAAGCAGGATATCAGCTGCCTCCAGTATCCTGTCTAGTTTGGTGCTAAATTCCATTAAAGCCAATGGTACTTTGGTCAGTCATTGTTTTCAACAGAACTGAATGCAATTTTCACTCCAGCAAGTGGTTATGGTTAAGGATGAGCAAATCAGCCAATTTTGGTTTCTCCCAGTTTCTCATCTTACCAGTCTTATGTTCAGTTCTCCATACTTCTATGCCAGTTTGCTATTATTATTAGTCATCATGAAAACTTGCCAAAGTTTTAGTGTGAATTTCTCCTAATATAATGGATTCTGGTAGGTTATTTTTACTACTTTCAGCATTTTTATGCATGCCTCACCATAATATATAAATTTTGGACATTATCTGCATTGTGGAATACAGAGCCGTGTGAATTTTGAAGGACGGCTGTGATTCAGTTCACAGATTGTTTTGGATAGTGCGAATGAAGTAAGCTTGCCTTTAAATGCGAACTGAATGAAATTTTCCCCTCGCCCCTATTTCATGGCTCACATTTTGGCATCTGTGCCCACTGTCCTTTCAACCACTTCCTTGGTTTTTTATGCACACTATGAGCATAAAGCGCCAGGCAGGGTTTTCTTTTCCTAGCCCAGCTTTTGCAGCCACAGGGCTTTGCTATGAGTGTACATGACCAAGAGCAATGTGGGAGCATGTCCATCCAATATCACATTACTTTACACTTTGCTAAACAGTACAGTGGTGCCCCGCAAGACGAATGCCTCGCAAGACGGAAAACCCGCTAGACGAAAGGGTTTTCCGTTTTTGAGTTGCTTCGCAAGACGATTTTCCCTATGGGCTTGCTTTGCAAGACGAAACGTCTTGCTAGTCTTGCGATTCCCCCCCCGCTTCCTCCCCTTTTCTAAGCTGCTAATCCACTAATAGCCTTTTAGCAGCTAAGCCGCTAAACCTTTAATAGCCGCTAAGCCGCTAAACTGCTAATAGTGCTAATCCGCTTAGCTGCTAATAGAGTTGCTTCGCAAGACGAAAAAACCGCTAGACGAAGAGAAACGCGGAACGGATTCTTTTCGTCTTGCGAGGCACCACTGTATTTAGATACACTCTCTCATGGTATTGCTAAGAGGCTAATGGCATTGAAGCAGCATTAAGGGCTGGTTATAGACAGCAACATAATTCCTGCCCCAGACATACCAAGCAGATCATTTTGTGGTAGCCACTTCACAAGCTTTGTGTTCTTTGCAAGATTGGGGGGTGTTTCTCCTGTATATCTCCACAGCACCTTCACGAGGAAGGAAACACATAGATTAGGAAATGTATCTTTACACTTCAAACACTTACAAAAACTTCAAATTGCACTTGAACAAGCACTCTCTCACATCTCTCCCGTAGGGTGCAATGCCTCTTCGAAGAGCCCCATTAGTTGGAAAGGTGGGATATCGGTTAACAACAAATAAATAAGGTACTGCCTGTATATAAAAGAATGAAAGTGCACTTGTATATAAATTATCAGCTTACCTAAGGTGCTGGAGGGGATGTTCAGAAATTGGGTCATACATCCACCTATGGTGGGGTTGTGTTAGAGTGCAAGAATTTTCAGCAACAGCATTCAGAGAAATGGATCAGATCTTAAGCCGCCACATTATCCTAACATCTCAATTAGCCCTTTTATTTTTACCCTTATATTTGAGGTTAATCAAAATTTGCACCATTTGCACAAAGTGCTGATAGTACAGCTGCTTATTGCCGCTAGAATGACCATCACAGTATTGGGGGGAAATAGATGGGGCCAATCTTTCTGTGTGATATTACCCTGCTAGAAAAACTAACTAATAAGCTGAGAGTCCTTAGGGGCCAAAGAAAGAAGGAAGATTTTGTATTTGTTTAGTTTGACTTCATTTCAGTTGTAAGCAATGAGAAACATGGCCAAGGACACCCTCAGCCTACAAATGAATATGGCTCAGTGACTCAGGGCATTTGAATACTTTAATCACTTTCCCTTGGTATAACAGGGTCTACGTTTTGTAACTTTCTCTTGTTTAACCATTATGTCTGTGCTATAAATAGCTCCAGTCACTACCTCCCACACATTCACTTACCTGTAGTTTATTTATTTTGGTTTTATTTTATGTCCGTTTTTGTCCAACAGTAATCTATGATTTTATAAAGAATTTGTATATTTTCATCAGATCCTGTTTGGTGCCACTGTATTTTGTAGAATTTTGTAAACCATTTCTTTCCTTTTCTTTTGGAACTTAACAAAAAATTAAATAATAAATAAATAAATAATAATCCAGGCCCTGACAGAGCCTATTTTTATATTACCACGGCAACATGGTTTCTTCCACACCACCGCGATGCCCTCCAGTTGTTCTGAACTACAGCTCCCATCTTCCCTGACCACTGGCCAGGCTGGCTGGGGCAGATGGGAGCTGTAGTCAAAGGCATCTGGAAGGCGCCAGGTTTAGGAAGTCTGAGAAAGGGCAACAGGATGGAAGCCGCTAAAGCAGCTATTTCTTACTTCCAGGAAGGATGAGGAAAGTTTGGGAAATCCATTTATTATTGACTCCTTTCACTTCTTAGCAGTGAAGGAGCTGTATTCTCAGAGGAATGAGGAAAGAAGTCTCATGTTATGGTAGCAAAAAAATGCAGAGGAGGCAAAATTTCACCAGTTTCTGGACTGGTAATTGATTAGCAAACATGGCTATACTACAATCTATCATCACTAAAACTTTTTCCAATAGATGTCTCTAGCCTCTGGATTTCAGGTGGTGTGCGTGGATAATCTTTTAGCCCCCCCCCCCAAACTTAAAGAAACAAGACCTAGTCCCTATGATCTGAAATTTAGTTGCAGAATGTTGGTTATGAAGATCAGCTGGGTTTTTCTGCATTGTTCTACTTGCAGTTGCTGTACAATTAGGGGAACCCGCCGAGGACTCAGCTCTGGCAGCTTTATCTGGAATGCAGCCAAACGTGACAACATCACGTCTTGTTCCCCTGTTGTCTTATTGCAGCAATATCAGCTGTAGCTTTTGAGGAGGGTCTGAGCCAGCAGCTGGCATCTAAATTACCATGACAATATTTCTAAAGAGCTGTATGTGAACAGCTTCCCAGTTCATGCTGTGTCAAGCTGCAAGATTGCTGGTTGGACTGAGGCAACTTCAGCTTCGGAGCCACTTTTCAAGCAGACAGCAACACATGCAAAATGAACCAAAATATTTAACATCCTACGTGAATACCATTTTTCCTTCTTACCGTCTGAGGTATTGTTCCAAATGCTTCAGCAATTTCCATAGCTTTTTTCATTGGAATTTCAGAAACCATTGAACCCAAGGAAAACACCACAATGCCATGTTCGCCAGAACTGTTTACCATGGCTTCAAATTCCTAGGCAAAACAAACAAAGAAACTTTTGGTCAGAATTCTGCATCATGTGGGAATATTTTCATCTCTCCCAAAAAGCTAAATGAAAAAGTAACATTTTAGACCATTTCTAGGACCAGATCTGTCTGGGGTGGGGCAGTGTGGGGTCCAGAACAAATCCTTCTGTGTAGGCCCTCCTGTTGCCCCCATCTCTCCTCTGCCCCTCCCCAGCAGGGACTCTTCCTCTCCCCTCCACTTACTTTTGCTGTTATTGTTTTGCACTACTGTAATAGTGGCAGCCTCTCCTCTTCCTCCTCCTCCTCCTCCCTTCCCTGCCCTGGCTTACATTTTTCTTTTGCCCCTGAGAAGAATTGTCCTAGACCCGCCTAATGGTCTACCTGCCCTCACATTCAGTCTTAGACGTTGGTCAGGATATTGAATTTCAGGAATCTCTGTAACAACATATCATATGCGTTCATTCATTTAGGATATTTCTAAATTGCTCTTCATCCCAGAAGTCATCACAGAGCAGGTTACAACAGAAAACACAAATGCAATAAGTACAGCAACCAATAAAAATAATAAATAATAATCATATACAATAAAGTTTTCCACATCAGCAAAGCAAGTTAGCAGGGTGACATAAATATGATATAATAAGGCGGTTCACTAAGCTCAGCTAAGGTATTAGGCATTAGGATTTATAAGCCCAGGGCCTCTGTGCATATTATTTTAAATCTGCTGCTTGGTAATTGCATTGTGCCTCTTGATTCCAATATTAAGTCTCCCTTCCAAGTACTAACCAGGCCTGACCCTGCTTAGCTTCCGAGACCAGACAAGATCGGGCGTGTTCAGGGTAGGATGGCCGCAGGCATTCTGATATTACGTATGTCAAAAGGGAGATGGCACCATGCTATTAACTTTTCCAATCTACTGAAATATCTCAGTCCTAATCCCTTTCTCATCCTCCATTTTTAAATTGAAGTTTTGAACCGTCTCAGTAAGGGGGAGTGGAGAGGTGGATTCCGACCTGAGTTAGTGGATTTTCCTTTGCACAGTTTATACCCCCAATGAAGACCATGTTGGGCATGATAGGCCTGGGATATTCAAAAACAAAGTCATAGCGCAGAAGCCAAATTGATGCTTGACTATAAAGGTCTGCTACTGTCATATCGTGGTGCAGGAATTCCTTGTTCAGTGTTCCATAGGGTGAATAAAGAAAATAGCATATCATGAATTCCAATGAGCCGATTAAAAAATTCTTCACTCTCTGTTTAAAGTTCATGTGATCTGTATTGCCTGAGAAAAATTTTGGGACATAAGAATGTGGGTTTGGACACTGTGTTGCCGCAAAGTCTAAACCACATGGAATTCCCCGCAAGTAGTAAATAGAAGGAAGGGATAAATACTCAGCCAAGATCTGCCCACATGGAAACACTGGATCCATAACTACAATGTTGAATTTGGTTTCTTTAAGGTAAGAAATCAGCTCTTGTTGTATAAAAGCTGCTTGCAATTATTATACAGAAGCATTGTAATATTTCTTATTCTTGAAAATGTCCCAGTCATTCTTTCCAGGAAAGGCTGACGTGCAAAAATCCTGTGACCAAGCTTTTGGAATTCTGCCTTCAAGTATTCCTTTGAGTAGGGCACGGCAAATGTTTTCAATGTATAATGTACAGATGACTTTATCCATAAGTTCGTCTCAGGAGCAACGACAACTACTTGGTGTCCTCTCTGCTGAAGATGTTCCATAACTGGATGGATACTGAGCCAGTGACTGCCATCATGGGGTATTACCAACACCTTTCCTCCATCCGCAAGGCTCCAGAAAAAGAGAGTAAGCAAAACACAAATGCCTTGACGCATAGAAATCTTCTTGCTGGTTGCATTGTGGCATAATTCCAACCCAAAATGAAATGAATGTGAAAAAACCATTGCGAACAGCACAGGAAACAAAGCCTCTTGTGAGCCTTTAGCCCGATCTTCTTCTGCAAATATTTATTTTCTGTGACACATTTATTAAGGCAGTGTGGAATGTCTAAATCTTGGTCAAAGGTCAGTTCTGCAAACCAACCTGGATTGGGTGATAAGGAGTCTGCAGGCTAGCCTGTTGCATAAGCGTCTCTACTACCACTTCTGTACTCAGGCAGTGACTTCCATCCTGTGGCATCACCAACAGCTTCCCACTTCCAGCACAATGCCACAAACAGAACCAAAAGGCAAGGCCAGCAGCAGCTGGATGAGACCTTCATCCTTCCTATCATGGAATCAAGGAGCCCTGAACTCGCTATACGCTTTGTGTGTCTAATGTATGAAAGCAGAGGTTGCAGAATAAAACACTGGTGCAGCCCACAGGATCACAGATTCTAAGCATCAAGTAAATGTTTAATGTGTTGCCACTGCTGAACCTCTTGTCAGGACAAATAGCCCATACAGTGGTACCTCGGGTTAAGTACTTAATTCGTTCCGGAGGTGCGTTCTTAACCTGAAACTGTTCTTAACCTGAAGCACCACTTTAGCTAATGGGGCCTCTATTGAAGCACTATTTCTGGGTTAGCGGAGTCTGTAACCTGAAGCATATGTAACCTGAAGCGTATGTAACCCAAGGTACTACTGTATATCCAATTATGTCAACTGCAATGTCAACTGAGTTGATGTTTTAAACGGCTCAGGACGACAGTACCTCAAGGACTGTCTATCTCAGTATGAACCGACTCAGATCCTGCAACCATCCTCTGAGGCCCTTCTTCGTGTGCCTCCTCCACGAGAGACCAGGAGGGTGGCAACATGAGAACGGGCCTTTTCTGTAGTGGCTCCCTGTTTGTGGAATGTCAACTGGTGCCTTCATTATACATTTTTAGGTGCCAGGCAAAAACATTCTTTATCAACGAGGACTTTGGCTAATTAACAGTCTACGTCCTTTTAAATGTGTTTGTGGAAGCAGGATTATTGGTTTGTTTGGGTTTTGTTCTTGTTTTGTTATGTGTTTTGTGGTATTATTCTGCATTTTTATGCTGTGAAGCCCCATGAAGTCTGAAGGGTGGTATACACATTGAATAAATAAAATAAAATAAACCCCCCCAAAACCCTTTAGCCAGCAAATAAAATTATTATTATTTTTAAATCAAATACTCAAACTAAAAAAATACTAAGAATAAGCAGTACAATGCAGGGATCACTTGGGAAATACTCAAACAAACGACTGCTCCACACAGGAGTTTACTGTCAATTTGCTGTTAGTCATATGTGTTAGTAGAGCTTTTTTGTATTTGACATCTGTTATAAGAAAATCCCTATATCCAAATATATCATTTCGTTGTTTACGTTCTATCTGTCTTATAGTAGTTTCTATGTTAGTTATTTCCAAAGTGTGTCTCTACTTGAGACTGTAATGTGAAGCTTTGTTTCTGTATCAATATGACATACTTTATGTATCTTCCTGATCTTACACAGTGACAAGGGATGCGGGTGGCGCTGTGGTCTAAACCACTGAGCCTCTTGGGCTTGCCGATCAGAAGGTCGGCGGTTCGAATCCTTGTGATGGGGTGAATTCCCGTTGCTCTGTCCCAGCTTCTGCCAACCTAGCAGGTCGGAAGCACACCAGTGCAAGTAGATAAATAGGTACCACTGTGGTGAGAAGGTAAACGGTGTTTCCGTGTGCTCTGGTTTCCGTCACGGTGTTCTGTTGCCCAGAGGCGGTTTAGTCCTGCTGGCACATGATCCGGAAAAGCTGTCTGTGGACAAACAATGGTTCCCTTGGCCTGAAAGCGAGATGAGCGCCGCAACCCCATAGTTTCCTTTGACTGGACTTAACCATCCGGGGTCCTTTACCTTTTTACACGGTGACAGTACAGGCTCCTAAACAGCACCACAGCACCACCTACAGGGTCTACAAAGACAACATTCCAATTCACAAGTTTACTGCTTTGAATGAATAGGTCATTCATAAACTGATACAGGACACTCATAAAACATTCAAGCTCCTTTCATACATATGTCAAACACATTGTCACAAGCAGAGAAAAATGCCCAATTTCCTGGTAACCATTATTCCGCAAATCAATAGTTGGAACATGTCCAGACAAATAAAGGGCTTCTCCACATGTCCGTTTACTGTGCATTTGCTCTTAGTTATGCGAGCAAGGTTTTTCAATGTGTACACATCATCCTTAACAAAATGGCAGCCCCAAATTCCTACACGTTTAATCCAGATTTTCCCAATCCATGGATGATCCACTGAGGAAAAATGGTCCAGTACAAAAATGTAGTCACTGCTGACAGGGAAGCTTCTTTGGTGGAATCTGCACACATATATAAACTGTTCTGAAAATGCTTTTTGAAAGTGTTTTTAAAAATACGTTGAATTTTCCACAAGGCTCACTATTGCCATCTAGTGTCACATTGTAAGGTAAAGGTAAAGGTACCCCTGCCCGTACGTGCCAGTCTTGACAGACTCTAGGGTTGTGCGCCCATCTCACTCAAGAGGCCGGGGGCCAGCGCTGTCCGGAGACACTTCCGGGTCACGTGGCCAGCGTGACAAAGCTGCATCTGGCGAGCCAGAGCCGCACACGGAAACGCCGTTTACCTTCCCGCCAGTAAGCGGTCCCTATTTATCTACTTGCACCCGGGGGTGCTTTCGAACTGCTAGGTTGGCAGGCGCTGGGACCGAGCAGCGGGAGCGCACCCCGCCGCGGGGATAATATACACATTGTATATTACACTTAAAACACACTTAAAACATTTTATTTGCAGCTGTATAGCTGAGTCTTTGGTGCACTTTATTTTTTGGGGAAAGTACCGTATTTTTCCCTCTATAACACGCAGATTTTTTCTCCTAAAAAGGAAGGGGAAATGTCTGTGCGTGTTATTGAGCGAATGTGGGGGGTCCCTGGAGCCGATTAGGGGAGCGCAGGAACAAAAATCAGCAAAAATCAAATCGTGTGTTGCGTCGGAGAGGGAAACCTGAAAAGAGGAAGTGGTTGCTTTCCTGCATTCTGCCTCAGGGTCTTACTGCCCACCCTCCTCTGTTTCGTTGCTGTGTTTGCTCAAACGGAACAAAGAGCAGGCAAATCCCCTCCCCTCCAGGCAAGCAGAGGGGAAAGCAGAGGTCTTTCCTTCTAATTCCTCTCCGTGCTCCTCGCAGGCAGCCAGAAAACATGAAGGACAGAGAGAGCTGGCTTCGGTTTGGGGAAACTTTTGCCTTTCTTTCCTCCCTCCAGTTAAATCCCTCTCATGCATTCTTAGCCAGCTGCTTCTCTGCACACCGCTCGCGTGCTCCTTTTCCCTTCTGTGTTTTTCCTTCCCTCCCCACTTAAAATGTAGCTAAAAAGCATGGATCCACATGGATCCTCAGGATCTTTGGATTGGGCCACCCCAAATTCACCATCAGATCACATAGCAGCCTGCCCCCCAAAAATCACACACCCACTGTTGCCTGGGGCTGCAATGGTGCAAAAATGTGGTTAAAAAGCATGGATCCACATGGATCCTCAGGATCTTTGCATTGAGCTACCCCAAATTCACCATCAGATCACATGTCTGTGGCCACAGCATGAAGCACAAAAATGATACATCCACTGTTTCATTCAGAATTTTTTCCCTTGTTTTCCTCCTCTAAAAACGATGTGCGTGTTATGGTCAGGTGCGTGTTATAGAGCGAAAAATACGGTAGTTTGTCATGTACCCCTCTGGGTAGGAGGGGCTTTTACTTTCATACCCCTTACCTGTATATGCGGCTCAGCTGAATACAACTAGCCATTTCGTTTCCAGTGACCAAAATGCTGCTGCACACTGAAGGCACAACAAAAACACACCTGAAGGCTAGAACTACTGTAACAATATTCAACAACAGCAAGAGCACGGAGGTCTTGTGCAGGCCTGCTCTGGCACAGGAAGCCAGTGTTAATTCTGTTTAAAAATATACACCATGTCTCTGCAAAAAGAAAAGAAAAACACCCCACAAGCCTCTATTTTGCCCATCATCAATTGGCTTGAGCTGGTATTTATCTGCCCCCCCCCCCGTTTAGTCATCTGTCCCCATCCCCCTTTGCAGCCACCACAAATCAAGAGCTCTGTGACTTTGCTGCTGCCACTCCCTGTTCCACCTCCATTCCGCTGAGCAGCAGCACTGCCACCGCTGGGAGGGCACTTCTTTCCCCCACAACACAACACACACTGTAAAATAAAAAAATTCCTTCCAGTAGCACCTCAGAGACCAACTAAGTTTGTTATTCGTATTCTGAACCAGGTAACTACATTATCACTAATTTCAAAAGTTATAGCAACCAGTTTAGTAGGCATGTTTATTAAAAAAAGAAGTTGGATTTTCAAATCGTCAATTTGTTGTAATTGTTTAAGCTGGTCCTTTCTGTGATTTTTTAAAAAATTGCTTTGATTTAAACCAGTCCCCTCTGCATTCAGGTCTGTAGTTCAAGTTTGTGAGAAGGAAGCAATCCTCCCCATCAAAATTATCCACCTATAAGCAATTGTCCTGAAGCAAAATATTTGGTTGATGAGTTCAAACTCCCTGACCCCTCCCCACCCAGTGAGCATAATTAGAGTGCAGTATGGAGAAAAACTGGCCTCGGGACATGTAGTGCTCCTGAATAAATTTGTGTTTAAAAGGCAAATGTACCTGTGAATGTGAAGACCCCGGAGATCAGAGAGAGCTGAATTAAGGCATTCAGGAGTAAAGTTGGCCGATCTTCTTCCTTTGCAGGAATGGCAAAAGCTGAACTATGACATCTATACCCTGCGGCAAATGCGAAGGGAAGTGAGAAACAGGTGGAAATGCATTTTGGAAGATTTGGGTAAGCCAGTTAAGCTCAGGCTATTTTCTTACAGTTAACATACAAACAGTATGTATATGCGAGGAAGGGAAATCTAATAAACACGCAAAAAGAAAAACCAAAGATATATGCACTCAATTTTGTGTGATAGTGAGATATTTAAAACAAAACAAAACCCCATTACTTAATACTGTGCCTCATTTCATTTTACCACTGGGTTTCCCCGTGTGTCTGCAAGATGAAGGCTACCTTTTGATCCTTTGCAAAGATATTTGCAGTAACCTGCATTTGCTAAAACGAGACTTAAAATCTTGCCCTAGGTTTTCTGAAGGAAGCAGATACCCTGTTATCAGTGACCAAACGAAGCATTGTCAGTGACTCTCAGAACATGAGCAAAGCCCGGGAGATCCTCCTGAAGCTGTCTGAGGAGACAGCTATTTTCCCAACAAGCTGGGAGCTTTCAGAGAGATACCTCTTTGTGGTGGTAAGTCTTAACTTCTCTCTCTTCTGTGATTACTTTTTCATACGCTTTCATGGAACTGCTCAGTGTGATTTGGAATGTATATTGGATGATGACCTAGTAGTGCCTGTCTAGCTGCATACAGTCCTGTTCAGGATCGGTCCCGTGACTAGGAATGACCTATTCAGCACAAGATTCTACATCACTGCAAGCTTGCATTAATATAGAAATATAGCAACTTTTGTGCCAAGAGCCACAGATGGCATATTGGCAGTTGTCTCTGGCACTGAATCAAGAGTTAGTTTCATGTGGTTGCTTTATAGACAGTTCCTTCCAAAGAAATCTGCCCCAGAGTGTGAGCCGAGAAGACAGTTGCTAGTACCCCAGACATGCAGATAGACTGTTTTACATCTGGCTCATGAAGCTGCCTTTTCAGGACACTTGGGGCTTAAGCATACATTGGGAAAGGTTGCTAGAGAATTTTACTGGCCTGATGTATTTTGAGATGTTATATATCAGGTCTTGTGATGTATACCAATGAGTGGGACCTGACGGAGATCATAAGCGTTTCCCGTTGCAGCCCAGTGAGATTATTGGGGAACCAATAAAACTGGAATAGATATTATTGGCCCAATGCCACAAGCCACAAAATTGGCAAGAAGTATAACTAAACTGTTATTGATTATTGTACTTGTTTTTGTGAAATGATTCCATTATCACAAATTAGTGCCCCTTTTGTGGCAAGAGCTTTATTAAGTGTTTTTTTGTCGCTGGGGCTTACCACAAACTGTCGCCAGTGGAGCTTTCATGTCCCGGTTAATGCAGCCTATTTTTGAAATTACTAAAATTGAACATAGGACAAGCCCGGCTTATTGTCATTTGATCAATGGCTTAGAGTTGAAAGGCTGAATAAATCTATAGGGCACATGTTGCTGAAATAGCTCATGGAAAAGAATGGGACCAACACCTTATGTTTTTGATGTGCGCGTATCCTGATTCATTGCTCCTCAAACTAGTATATGGGAAGTCTCTGCGCAAACCATTAAGCTTGTTAAAACAACAATGGGAGGGAGTGTTGCAAACAAGTCCTTTGTCTGTTTAAGATTATATGCAGAAGCTACGAACTACCTTGAGTGATGTTTGGAAAACTTCCCAAGAGAGTCTTAAAGTTGCCCAGCAGGGGCAAAAATGTCACTATGATAGAAATTCTACCTGGAGGTAAAGGGTTGAGTTTGCATGGAGTTCAGCCGCTTTTTCTCTTGTGCAGGATCGTCTCATTGCCCTTGATGCTGCTGATGAATTCTTTCGAATCGCCAGTGCAACCTATCCAAAGAGTGAAAGATGTACAGTGAAAGAGGAAGTCAATCTGATTGCAGTCCAGTTCAGTTCTTCTCTGTCATAACACTGATCACCTTTGGATGGACTTTTGATTTTGAAGGGATTGGCCAGAGTAACGTGACTTCTTCCTTCAGGAAACAAGTATATCTCAGAAGTGCAGGATAAATCCAGGATGATGTACCTGTTGTATAGCGTGATGCAATACAGACTCACCTTGACTCAGGAGAAAGTCTGTGATTAGAATCTGCTATAAGCTTTGGTGCTAGATTAGATGCCGGCGGTAGTCTTAGAGCTGCAGTGAATATAAAAAGTGCAGTGACAGAAACCTGTACTGCTTCAGATGTAATGTTTTTCTCTTTGACAGCTTGGTACAATTGATACAGTTATTTCCCATAACTGACCATTTTCCTGTGTTCCTGTTTAAGTAGGATTTTAACAGGGTGGAAAGTTAACTCCTTTTAAAACTGCCATTTCATCAAGTTCCTTCTCTCTTGAGAATACACCATGTATCGTGCCAGCAAAACTCCTCATATCCATCTATGCAATTAGAGATTCTCTGTCTGGTAGATGTGGGTGACGTATTCATCAACAATGGCAGAATGTTGTGAGAACCATCAAAAACCACACTGCAAATTACTTCCTAGCAGCAAAAGAGTCTTACTCTGTGTCTTAATTAGCATTTTTAGAAGTGAAGAAATCAAATCCTGCTATTCTGAGCTGGTTTTGCCTCAAGATTCAAAAATCTACAATGGCTGTTACTGAGCTTTCCTCATCATAGCACGAATCCATTGTTCCACTGTGAAAGATTATTGTGTAAGCATCTTTTTAAAGATGTTGTATTGAAAACATCTGCAAGCCTTCCTTTTGTCCTAGATCCTTATGCAGTAGCTATTGATTCCAGTTGCCTCCTTTGTTCCAGCTGATATTTTTATCACATACTGAACTTGGACATTACGGTGTCCTGCGGTTTTGCTCGAAATGGAACATTTAGTAATTGAGGGGCACTTTTTTTTTTGGGCACTTGCATCTATTTTTCACCAACCTGTTGGAACAAATGTGTTTATTGAAATCTATATTGTGTTACAAAAGCTAATGATACAAAATGTTTTAATATAGCCCAAATAGTATCTTGCTGTTTTGGTCTGGTAATGAGCAATGGTTTTAAACTACGGATGTGGTGATGGTTCATTGTCACTACTGCTTTTTTAAAGCAAAAAGCTGGTGCTCTCACCAGATGGTATTTGGTTTTTGTGGTTGCAACATACCTAACAAAATGGCAAGAGGTATTTTAAATGTTTGTACCAGTGATGTTAAAACAGTTATATGAAATGTGTGCTTTGTCACTTCCGGGGGGGGGGGGAATGTATTGATTCTATACTTTCATACCTTAATTTAATAAATAAAAAGTCCCTATGTGATTCTTCCCTATTTTGAAGTATGTTTTGTCTTTGTAAAGCAGATTAATGAATGCTAGACATATTGAGGTTCCAACCATTTTTCTAAGGCAATTTAGAAATTGTAGAAATAAAAAAACTATCTGGTCCTTGCAGATTAAAGGTAAAGGTAAAGGTACCCCTGCCCGTACGGGCCAGTCTTGCCAGACTCTAGGGTTGTGCGCTCATCTCACTCTATAGGCCGGGGGCCAGCGCTGTCCGCAGACACTTCCGGGTCACATGGCCAGCGTGACAAGCTGCATCTGGCGAGCCAGCGCAGCACACGGAACGCCGTTTACCTTCCCGCTGGTAAGCGGTCCCTATTTATCTACTTGCACCCGGAGGTGCTTTCGAACTGCTAGGTTGGCAGGCGCTGGGACCGAACGACGGGAGCGCACCCCGCCGCGGGGATTTGAACTGCCGACCATGCAATCGGCAAATCCTAGGCACTGAGGTTTTACCCACAGCGCCACCCGCATCCCTTCGCCACCCACGTCCCTTTACTTTATGAAATTTACAATGTAGTTCTATGCATACTTACTTGAGAACAAAGTCCCATTGTGATTTATTGGTTACTCTCTAGAAAGTATGTTTAGGATTGCAGCCTAAGCATCATGCAGAACTAGAGCTGCACTGCATGTTGTTCAGTTTCAGTATTTGGGTGAGAAATTACACACTTTCTCTCCCTCTCCCCCCCCCCCACTGTTCATGGCTCCCTTGCCTCAAAATATTTTGTTGGGAGTTGCTACCTGATAGGAAGATACCAAGGATGCTGCCCAGGTAATCCTGATTCATTGTGGAGTGCCATTTAATTTCTGTTCCTGTGCTATATTTAAGGATATTTTGTAAGCTACTGATATCCTCTTGGGTCTATATAGCAAGATATACATATTCTACCTAATACAAAAAGTCTTGTGGCCTGTCTCAGTAACATTTTTATTACACCAAGTGTTCTAATATCAAACATGTGTTCAACAGGTTACCACAGAGGTGGTGAACTTGTTTCTCTCCAAATGTCGCTGCACTCCAGCTCCCATCATCCCTGGCTATCAGCCAGCCGACTGAAGTTGTTGAATTCCAACTCACAACGGCATCTGGGAGAAGCACAAATTCCCCATCCCTAGGTTGCAGTGATTAGGGCTGGAACCAAAGGTTTACCTTTGCTGACCGAAGGAACGTATTCTGCCAGGAAGACTTACTCTGTCCACAGAAGGGGACCTTTTGAATCTGAGTGCAAGTCTTCCCATGAGTAGCTGTTGTTGTGCACCTAATGTTGTGCATCTAATATCAACATTTATGCTCCAGTTGCCATCTCATTCTTTTCTGAATCATATCTAACAATAACGCTGGTAGGTTCTGGGCTGTGGGATCTGATAATGGCAGCTAGCAGATTGAGGTTGAATCCTGACAAGACAGAAGTACTGTTTTGGGGTGACAGGGGGCAGACAGGTGTTGGGGAATCCCTGGTCCTGAATGGGGTAACTGTGCCCCTGAAGCCTTGGGTAGGGTTGCCATACATGAGGAATTTTCTGAACATATGCAGAATACTGCAGTCAGAAGCAGTGTCTGGGCAGAAATGGGCAAATCCAGACGTATGACAACCCATCTTGGCAGTGTTGGATTTGCCGATTTTCCTTTTAAAAAAGTTCAAAAACGGCAATTTTCTTTTGCTCAACAACTTTGGGCAAAACTAAAAACTCAACAACTTTTGGGGCAACCCTAGCCTTGGGGTCATTTTGGACTCACAGTTGTCCGTGGAGGTGAAGGTTAATTCTACTAGCTCCACCTGTTATGCCGGCTGAGACCCTCCCTGCCCGCAGACCATCTCGCCAGAGTGGTCCATGCTCTGGTTATCTCCTGCTTGGACTACTGCAATGTGCTGTACGTGGGGTGTGATCACTTTGGTGTGATGGTTGCAGATTCAATCCCTGGCATTTCCAGTTAGAGCTGGGAGGGTCCTGGTCTGAAATCCTGCACAGATGCTGCCAGTCCGTGTAGACAATACTGAGATAGATGGAGCAATGGCATGTCTCAGCATCAGGCAGCCTCCTGTGTTCTCCTCTCAAATGTACTCTCACAGGCTGCCGCGGCTCCACTATTGGAAACGGCTTAGGAAATCAGAAAAAGTTATTTGCCACTATAGCCAGAGAATTGGGGCAAAATTTAGGGGTAGCAGATTTTGGACAGATTTATTCAAAATATGCCCGTCTTGAGGCTCAACCTTGCTGTTTCCTTAGATTATTGTTGTAGCAACAGCAGGCAAGTAGCATCAAGAAAGAGTTGGGCGTTTGCATTGGGAACGGTTCAATTTGGATGCCCATTATCTTTGGATGCCCATTATCTTCTTGGATGCCCATTATCACTGCCAAGAGGAGATGGCTAGTCGAGGAGGGCAGGGCCTAGTCAGGGCCACTGATTGGTAGTCCTGTTCCTGCTGTAGTTCTCTGTCGCTGTCAACAAGGTTCTCCTCGGCATCTTTTCCCCTCTGAATTCCACAGGGTGGCAACATAGACTTTAGAATGCCAGAATGTGGAGGTTGCTGTTAGCTGTGAGTTCTTTCACCTCCATTCACTCACCTTTGCCGTGTGTTCTTTAAACCTGCTCTCTATTTTCAGGAAGTACATAGCAGAGTCACTTGTGGCTCAGACTTATCCCCTGACACTTTGCTGGCCCTGAGCTCCTTCACTTGTCAAAGGAGCAACCTGTCTCTGGCGATTTCTTCTCATGTTTGCCTTCTGCAAATAGAGCTGGGCAATATATTGATAGTTTGGTGCCCCCCCCCACCCCAAACCTGGCAAACAGAGACCCAGATCTGCTTTCTTTTCTTTTCTTTTTTGCTGACAAGAGAATTATGCTTTTAGCTAATTGTGGTGCTGTGACAAAAAGTTTTGTCTGCCCATGCCATATTTACACAGCCACATTATGTCTGTACCATATTAGTATAAGAAGCATCTCACAGCACAGCATTTAAAGGAAAAGAGACACATGGGTTAATGTAGTGGATCTCCTCATAGGGCCATCTTGTGGCTGATTATAGCTGAACTGGGCTGAGTGTGCAAAGAGCCAGAGGACAAGAGAACTGTGGGCAGCATTCTGGGGTTTTTTGTGGGGGGTTGGAGAGTTGAGCAGCTGAGCTCTGATCCCTTCTAGTTTAGAACGCCATCCCTCTCAGCCCTGCAGCTTGCTGAGCGCTTTGTAAACTCCAGGAAGTCTCACAGAACTTAGCAGCATTTACTGAGTAAAGCTGCTGTTATAAGAATTGCAGGTAAAGGTAAAGAATTGCAGGTAAAGCAGATTGCAGGTAAAGCAATCAAAACAGGATTTCTGCTGTAGACCGCCTCCTTCTGTGATGTATGTATGATGTTTTGGGGTGGTCTTGGACTACAGGGTGGGCAATTTCAGAAATCTATATACGGGCTTGCACACCATTGTTCTGGGTTCCTCCTCCCGCCTGCGTGTGGTGAGTGAGGATCCTGTTGCAACAGTTTAATAAAGATCAGGCTTACTACCTGCTTTGCTTCTCAGTTTTCTCTGGTTGGCCTCTGTTATTTTCTCCTACCGATAGAGGACTCTATATGGGCCCTTGGATAACCCATAAGGGAAAAGGAGCAGTTTTTTCTTATAACACCTGCATACTATAGGTTAGACTGACAAGGGCACTCATCTACGCAGACTACATTCTTTCACGATTCTTTAGGTCCTGTTACTTAGCCAATTCCCCACCTCCCATAGGAATATGAGTTTTAAACTTGTAAGGGCTGCTTTTCACACTATATTGATATAGGTTTTTTTTTGGGGGGGGAGCCCCAAACCCTAGAAATTAATAAATCCCAAGATTTTGATTGCGGTATGGATTAAAGTTCTTGAAGCTACCAACATGAGTTTGACCAAACTGCGGGAGGCAGTGGAAGACAGGAATGCCTGGCGTGCTCTGGTCCAGGGGGTCACCAAGAGTCAGACACGACTAAACAACAACAAATGGATTAAAGTACAAGCTGTAGAGCTGTGTCAGACAGGGAATTCCTGGGCTGACTTATGCAAACCAGCCTGGCTGGCTTAGTGAAGAGCAAACCTGTTAACATGACAAAAGGTCTTGATGGGCCATCTGAGAGGAATCATTTAGCCTGGGGAGTGAGATGTTACTAAGGTGATGGGATGTGAGTTTGAGGGGATAGGAAAGGGGAGTTTTGGGGCAAGCATTGCTGGGAAGGAGAAACAGAAGGAAAAGCTGAGATCCATCTTGGGTAGGTTGGCTGCAAGCAGCTTGTTTTGTTGCCTCTTGAAATAACCATGCAGAGAGTTCTGGACTCCCTCCATGCAGACTGAGGGTGTAAATAGGTGAATAAACTATATTTCTTAAAGCCATGACAGTCTCTGCCATGTCTTCAGTTCTCCAAAGGAGCACAGATCCTGTATGCATGAGGCCTGGGACCCCATGGGCTCTTGCCACCACTCGGCAGAGAGAGGGGCAAGCACCGGACTTTTGTAACAATATTAAGAAGACCTCAGATGATTCTCCTCATTCTTAGCTGAATACATTGGTTTTATTTCCAACCCACTTTTCTGCAAGCATGATGGATAGAAGTGATGCTGTTGGATACAAATGTTAGTACAGTTGTACCTCAGGTTACATACGCTTCAGGTTACATACGCTTCAGGTTACATACGCTTCAGGTTACAGACTCCACTAACCCAGAAATAGTGCTTCAGGTTAAGAACTTTGCTTCAGGATAAGAACAGAAATTGTGCTCCGACGGCGTGGCAGCAGCAGGAGGCCCCTTAGCTAAGCCAGTGTGGTGCAGTGGTTAAGAGCGGTAGTCATGTAATCTGGGGAACCGGGTTCGCGTCTCCGCTCCTCCACCTGCAGCTGCTGGGTGACCTTGGGCCAGTCACACTTCTCTGAAGTCTCTCATCCCCACTCACCTCACAGAGTGTTTGTTGTGGGGGAGGAAGGGAAAGGAGAATGTTAGCCACTTTGAGACTCCTGAAGGGGAG